CAGCAGTGTCCAGTCACTCAGTGTTGCAGCAGTGTGCAGTCAGCCAGTGTGCCTGCAGTGTGTGAGCCGACCCCCCTCCCTCTCTCACCCCTGCTGGGTGTGAGTTCCCCCCCCCCTCAGGCCCTGGGCCGGCACGTGTCCTCTCTTTCAGAAGAGTCGACCCTCCTGATTTCCCAGGGGGCACTGCCATCTGCCAGCTGCCACCCGCTCCATTATCGCCACTGAAGGACCCTCACACACACACACCCCCCCACCCACTCCAGCGTCACACGCCTGCCGTCCCCCTCCTGCACACAAACACAGGGGACCGTAATCCCAACCCCATGCTCACGGAGTCTCAGTCCGACCCCCCGCGGGGGGGTGTTGGGCAGAGCTGTCAGGAGCCCTTTGATCCTCAGTCACAGCCCATTCGCCACGAGCCCGAGGTCAAACGGGGTCACGTGTACTGTACTGTAGCGAGTTCACTGATCAGCGCTCACACACACACACACCCTGCTGAACCCCGGGAACCCCACCCTCGGCTCCCCCCCCTCGAGAGTTTTTAACCCTTCCCACTCCCTGAGGTTATAAACGAAGGAAGGAGGATTGAAACGTTCTGTGCCTCTGGCCAGAGAGGCTCACCACTGGCTCATCGCTGACTGCTACCAGCTCCAGCTTCGATAAATCGTGCCGGACGAGCACTGAGGAAAGTGCAGCTGCTCACCGAAGAGAGCCGAGCCCCGAGCCCCGAGCCCCGAGCCCCCAGCCCCGAGCCCCCAGCCCCCAGCCCTGCGGCAGCAGAGACGGTCAGAAACAGCTGCTGTGGCCCGATTCAGCTCCCCCGTTACTTCATTAATGACTCCAATTAATCATTCGCTTAACGATGTTCTTTACCACATCCCCAAAACTTAATGTCAAGGGACTCTTTTGCCAATCTCAGAGATTATTCTGCAATTATTTCTGAGGTCATAAAAATTGTCTACTGAAACACACAGCCCAGGTCAGAGGTCAACTCAGTAGCTCGAGTGCAATGACAACCCTGCTGGTCACAACTCCTCGGAATGAGAACCTAAAACGTGTTTAGGAAACGCTTTGAAACATGAGTCGGAATGGTGTGAAATTTAACTTCTCCTAGTTTGGATTTTAATTCATCACCAAGGGGCTATACAAAAAATCTAAGAACCTGTACACTAGGGGCCATACACCACTAATTGAACTCAACCAAGAGAGCAGAACTAGCTATCCCAAGGAAGCCACTGCAATTCTGATCCGGGGGTGACACGTGAGACGTCTCACTTTAAGGGGGTACTCCTTCTCTCCCTGCCCCCTCAGCTGTGGCCACTCACAGCTTCCTCCTCTCACCCAGCTGTCAGGCTGTCATAGCAACCCCACATTCCATCGCCTATGGCAACAGGGGCCAGCGAGAGAGCAAGACCCCCCAGTACTGACAAAGCAGATGCCTGAGAGAGGGCAGGACGGCAAGGAATTTTATATTTCTTAAAAATATATATATTTTTTTTTAATCCAATATTTGCCATTTAAAAAATGCTTATGAATTAAACCATAGAGAAACTCTGGAACAAGTATTGTACAGTACGTGCACCAACTATTCACCTGTACTGGGACTGTAGCCCCTATTGTAACAGGACTGTTCTACTGTACTGGGACTGTAGCTTCTATTGTAACAGGACTGTTCTACTGTACTGGGACTGTAGCCCCTATTGTAACAGGACTGTTCTACTGTACTGGGACTGTAGCCCCTATTGTAACAGGACTGTTCTACTTTACTGGGACTGTAGCTCCTATTGTAACAGGACTGTTCAGTGAATCAGTGGTCAGATGTTCCAGGTCTCTAAAGCAGCACTAGAAGAGTTGGGAGAAGCTGGTAAACTGGCCCAGTTGAATAAGTAGTCCAGCTGGCTAAGAGCTGAGTTGGAATAAAAACCAAAAGAATAAACACCCTCCCAGGACCAGGACTGGACACCATAGCAGACACACTGACCGGCCCTGCAGGACCAGACTGGACACCCCTGGAGACACACTGACCGGCCCTGCAGGACCAGGACTGGACACCACTGCAGACACACTGACCAGCCCTGCAGGACCAGG